GTGCATTTGTGCAGTGTGGCCAGGTATATTTACTGCCTGTGTTTCACATTTTAAAAAGAAAGACTGAAGCCTTTTTTTACTTTTGGATAAAGTAAGGGAGGTTATAACCCCTGTCAGCTTTTTGTTGCCACCTGTGTCCCATAGAGATTTCCCTACACTTCCTGTCTGATAGCCACAACAGGAAATGAGTGCAAATCCCTCCAAACAGAGGGAATTCCCTAGTGGTCACGTTTTGGATTCAGTTGCACTTTAATGCCAATATCTAACTGTGTTAGGTTCACAAGAAGATGTTATGTTTGCAACTAGTAATGCAGTATTAATGGAACAGGAATACAAGGTAATGTATTAACAAGTGCAGTAAAAATGGTTTATTTACTGTGCAAGGCCTGGAGTACTTAAAGACACATCCATTATCCCAGCTGTTTCTCTCCTTTTCTCTTACTTTCACCCTCCCTCTCACTCCTGCTTGCACTCTTTCACATTCTCTCTCTCCCATCACCCCTATTGCCTCTCCCTATATTCCTCTTACTCTCTCCCTCATTTGTATTTTCTCCCCCCGCTCACTCTGCCAAAATATTGCTTGTTTGATGCCTTTATATTGTTACAATTGCCCATTTGTTGATCTGATATTGTCACAGTTACCCATTTGTTGATCTCATATTGTCACAATTGCTTATTTGTTGCCCACATATTGTCAAGATTGCCCATTTATTGTCACAGATGCCATTTTATTTGCTTTTGTGTTGTCCAGTCAGTGCTTTTCTTTATTAGACTATATAAGGCAGACGAACGCCTTCAGTTCTGATCCGCAGCGGATCCATGCACCGTTGTGACATCCGTGTCTGTTCCGTGTTTTTCCTCCGCAAGAAAAAAAACCCTGAAATTACGGAACCCATGTTGGTCTATGGGGAACTGGATGTAAACGGACATGTATTCATTTACATGAGATTACCTTCAATCTAGCATGGTCAGGTCAATCAAAACAAAACTCTGATCTGTTTGTTTTTCTGGACCTGACCTAAGGCGGGGGTAACTGGATGTAAACTGATGCACATTCATTTAGATGCGGCTTTTCAAGACTAACATCGGGCTTCCGATCAGGTCCCCCAGAAAAATTGACAGGTGGACCTGATCGAAATGCCTGTGTGAAAGGGGTCTTAATATATAATGCCTCCATAATACAGTACAATGAGTGAATACTCTCATCTTAGGACAGGAAGTGTGTTACTGGCCAGATCACATAGTCAAAATAAAGGGAAAAAAGCCTAAAAAAAAATGAATGCAACCACCACATCTAAGGACTGATAAGTGCAATATATTAAATCCTGATTGAACCTTCTGTTCTTATGACTGTAATGCAGTTTTAGCTTTTATTACATACTATGTGGTGCAGCAAGGGGTAAAACACCCTGGTGTGTTAGAGATTTGGATCACTGCTCTCACTCCAAGCAGCAGCCTGGGTCTCCAGTAGCCTTATGCAACTTTCCGCGTCGTCATCCATCATACACTGTTCCAATGAACAGAGCAGCTGTTGGACATAAACAATATGGTTTTAGGTAAATAAGCAAGTGTTGCTACTAATTGCCAGCACTTTCACAATTATGCTCAAATGTGTGCTGAAATGTTCCAAAACGTGAACAAAATGAATCAGCCAATAATGTAGAGTTCTTCCATTGTGGGGCAAACGATGACTGTAGACATTTGAGATCTTAAATCTGGAGTTATATGCATATTGTCACTTTTTTTGGTATTCTGTCTATATTTTTTATATATTGAGATGTCTGCTGGAAAAGTGAACTTCAATTTTTCTATTATAGTATGTCAAATCCTTTAATCACTGCTTGTGATAAGCTGATTAAAATAATCTGCTCAAGCAAAAAATTGATTCTGATATTCTGAAGAAAAGAACTTGAAGCTAATTAATTTAAAAGTGCCCTAGCTAAGCCGGATAAACTAGGACTACAGTAATTACTTGTAGCTTCAAACATCTGATAACTCTGCACATACTGTAAGTATGTAGATGACCTTGACAATTAGTAATTGTATATAGCCAAAAATCACACTGCAATACAGGAAACATCTAAAGACAGGTCTAAGGAAATCACCATAGCCAGAGCTGGGAGCTCATTCGCAGTACAGTAATACCTTGGTTTACAAGTAACTTGGTTTGAGAGTGTTTTGCAAGACAAGCAAACATTTCTGAAAAAATTTGCCTTGATATACAAGCAATGTCTTGCAATAAGAGCAACATTTTGTAGAAAAGAACCAACCGAATAAGACTGTAGCAGTGCGAGCGATGTGTCTGTTTAACGACAATGCAATGTCACATTGGATAGATTCCTTGTTAAGGTTTCACAAAATGAAAAAGATTCCATTGAGTCAAGAGATATCAGTGATTCCGTTAGTGATAGTGAAAGTCGTCCTACACAATAATCTTTCTCTCTCTCGTCCCCCTCACACCAGCCACGGAGGTACCGGTAATTGGCTTATTTTTCTTTATATTTTGTACAGTATTATATTACAGTACAGTATTATAATCATTTTTATATGAATATTTTTGGGTTGTGGAACGAATCATCTGAATTTCCATTATTTCCTATGGGGAAATTCGCTTTGATATAGAAGCGCTTTGGATTACAAGCATGCTTCCAGAACGAATTATGCTCGTAAACCAAGGTATTACTGTATATCTTCTAGTCGGCTTTACATACTGTCAGTCCTTTTTTAGTGAGCTGACAACAACACAGGGTCGATCATTCACTGGCTCCTTATGCGTCCCCAGGACTACAGCCAATGTTCCTGCTCTAACCTCTGGCATTGCTGTGAAAGGCTGAGCTCCTGATAGATGGAGGGTAGATAATGCAGTATCTCTCTGTCCTACAACACCTATAACATTTTCTACAGGAATTTATTGAGAACTCCATATATTAGAGAACCAGTTCAGTAGGTGACATCATGACTGACAAAACTCAAAACCGAAGGTAGCCTGTCACAGCTTAACTAGATCTTCCTGCCTGATTTCCTGAAGAGCTGTAATGACCAGGTGGGGATCTAGCTCTGCCCTACTCCATGTAAAATAGAGTGTTCTGCTAAAGGCTTGTTCACACCATGTCCATTGAGCTTCTTTTTTCTGCACACCACTGCACAAGTATAGTGTGAACAGAGCACATAGAAAACAGTTGTTTTCTATGTGGCTATTCACACTATACAGTTGGGGTGGTGTGCAGAAAAAGTAGCTCAATGGACATGGTGTGAACAAGCCTTAAAGTGTTGGAATTGGATATTGGAAGTCCCAAATAGACATGTGAAATATTTCCTTGCATTAGAAGGTAGTGGTATTTAGAGCTCTAAATTAGCTAATTTAAAGGGTAATGATAGATGCATAATATAAATAATAGACCAATGGGCTAACGCAGCAGTGTAAGCTAAGAAACACAAACGTTGAACAGTCAACAATCAACCTGGACAATACAATTGCTGGATTGCAATTAGAATTACCTTGACCATTAGATGGACCTTGAAATCAGGTCTTAGGGTTTCCCCCGAGAGCTCAAAGTTGTTCTTTAAAAAGTGGCCTAATGGAGCTAAGCGAGCGCCACCGACCCTTGTGGTCAAGCGACATCTCAAAAGTACAAAAGCTGTTCTTGGACGGGAGAGCCCACGGAACAAAACAAAGGGCATCCCTCAAAGACATACCCAAAGGAAAAAGGTGAAAGGGGGGGAAAGGCAGAAGGAAAGAGAGGAGGGAAGATAACGAGTGTAACAAGAAGAAAGATCTAAGATCTCCAAATTTTTAGGAATTTCTTATGGGAATTGGCTAGGTTTACAGTCAGCTTTTTGGTAATCATAGTGCCTGTACTTCTATTCTTCACCTCTTGGAAGTTTACAGCTGGGGATCTCCAAGTTTGTATAGTTGCAAATATGGGTAATCAAAGTCTGCTGGCATCTCCTGACGTGATGTGTTTATGCAACAGGGCTTCCCACAGGTTCTTCGCAAGGTTGCAATACAAAACTGTATTAATTAATGCATACACCCGGACCCATAGCCTTTTAACCTTGCTGCACTCCCTCCATATGTGAACCATGGAGCCCAGTTGGGTGCAACCTCATAAACAGTGAGCGTAGATCAGAATAGTTTTATGTAGTCAGGCAGGGGTATAATGCCATTGAAACTGTACTTTATATGAGTTATTAAGCACCAGGACATTTCCCAAGATAATAGCAGTCATACGCCAGATGTCCATCCAACTGACTTTGTTAATAGGCAATCCCAACTCCTCTGCACATTTAGTTTGATAAAGGGTTGCTGTGGTGTGCTTTCAAATTAAGTCAGAATAGGGGGGGGGCATTGCACATAGTGGCGCAATTGGATGTAGTGAAAAAATTCCAGATGAACCCCTGGTTGATGGTGAGAGTACTGATATTTCAAAGTCCTACTAAGTGCCGCCATGAAAACATTTTCCACACCTGGAGGGAACAGCGGGCAGTGCAGTAAAAAAAGAAGAGGGAGTTGGGAATGTTATGTATTTTTTCAATTTAGAGGATAGCTGCCTAAAAAATAAAATACTCAAGCATCAGGCCCTTTTGATTTGTGCTTAATTATTTCTAAGGGTAGTCACAACCACATTTCTACAGATACATACTGTAATAAGTCTGTTGCCTGACAGAAAGCATATGCCTGTCATTATACACAAAGGAGACAATGTACTAAAGTAGTTACGGTGCTGTCACTTTAATTTTAAATCTGACACCTGGTCTGTCTCATGAGTAAAAGCATCAAGCTTAATACATAACCATGAAAAACAAAATAAAAATAATAAAAGTAATAATTAAAAAAAAAAATCTAAATATATTTTTAATTAGCCCACTGGATTAAGTTACTAATGTGTAGTTACTAATGTGTATTAAATATGCACATTCAATCTTGCAATGTGTGATTACCTAATACATTAATGGTAATACCAGTGCTGAGTAATATCTTTATAAAGCTCCATTATTACCTTGTCACAGTGATCTGAGTCATAGTTCAGTCCAATTCCACAGTCATCTGTAATTTCTGACAAATCCTCATCATCAAATTCTTCCAAACTGATGTCCTGTGATGGCCTAATGAGCAAAAACAGTGACAGCATGAAGAACCACAAGCTAAAAAAATGACAATGCTAGATACAAGGATACATGCATTATTAACCCAATGGGGGGAATTTATCAAAGCAATTGCAACAGTTTTAGTCTCTTAGATCATTTTTTTTTATGTGGAAATCTGTCTTTCAACATGTGCCCCTGTTTTGACCTGAGCTTGCACTACTTTTCCAACTGCACGTGTTTTGCACCCGTTTTCATCAGAGCTTGCACTACTTTTTCAACTGCACGTTGTTTGCACCTTTTTTCATCTGCACTTGTTCTGGGCTGTCTGAAACTGGAGCATCACCTAAGAAAACAATCACAACTTAAGAAGGACTTCTTCAAGAAGTGACAGTTACGCTTTTTGCCTGGAGTTACAAGTCTTCTTTCCTGGAGTCTATTAAACCTCATTTATCAACAACATTACACTAGCATCATAAATCTGGTGCAAATATATTCAAACACTCGCAATTGCTTTGCTAAATTCCCCCCTCTGTGTTTAAAATTACATTGATATATTGACATTTTCTGAACAGAACAGGTGAAAGGTCGCAGAAAGGTGTCACTGATTTTACTTCTGTTAATTAATTATTAATAATAGGCTATGAGTCAAATCCCCTTCTGTGCTGCTTTAAAGACATACCTTACAGGAGAATTATGAGGCGAGTAAAAATCACTCAGCCTCATAGTTCTAGCCGACCTGTGACAATTAAACTGTCACAGGTCGGCTCAATAGATCGGGAAGTAATCAAACACATACCGTTGCTCGCTCACTTCTCGATCATGCCCCTGCAGAGAGCCGTGACTGTCCCCCCTCCCCTGTCCGATTCTCCAGCACTGACTGGCGGAACGGATGGGGGAGGGGGTGGGTACAGCTGGCTCTGCCTCTAGATAGGCAGAGCCAGCTGTCACTCACGCAACTGGGTGGATCCAGACAGTAATGTCGGAATCCGTCCCGGCTGCGGCGTCTCATTTTACCCCGAGCTGTAGCTCGCGGTATACTGAACTTTGGGTGACGGGAGGATGCTAGTTTGTGTCCTCCTGTTACCCTTATGAGGACTATGGGGAAAAGCCCTGACCCCATAGTTCTCCTTTAAGTGATGACTCTTGATCCGCTCATCTTCTTCTTTAGAGTAGTTTTCAGGAGTCCCTCCAGCGCTGGTGGCGGGCTCTGATCCAGCGCTGACTGCTGTGTCCCGCGGTGTCTGTGCGCGTGCACGCTGCTGGGCTGCGTGCATTGAGTTACTCTGTATCTCTCCTCTTCTCCCGACCGAAGATCTCTTCTGCACATGCGCCCGCCCCATGATCCTTCACGGTCGCTCGATAATCTTCAGATCTTCGGACAGGAGCAAGCGGCCCCTGCCACACAATCTAATTCCTACTGTTCCTATGTTTTTCAAATTTAAAATGTAATCCCACCACCCATTTAAAAGTTAAATGAACTATTAAAATATTTTTACCTTTTATTAAACTAGAGGTTTGTGTTCCCTGTCAATAACAACTCCACTTGTGCTTGTCTTCTAGACATTCACCATGTACAACAGATCCTATTTATTTGCACCAGGGAAGACAATGTATCACTCAGCTGTAGTTTCTCAAATCATCTCTGAATTCATGCTGACACTGTCCTTCCTTCTGGAGGGGGGCTACTTTTGTTCCTCATGGTCCCTGTGTGTGTTGTATAGTAGCCACCGCTCCAAGCTCGTTCCCATGATCTACTACAATCTCATGTTTAACACACAGGGACCATGGGGAACAAAAGTAGCCACCCTCCAGAAGGAAGGACAGTGTCAGCACCAAATCACAAAAGATTTGAGGATCTACAGCAGAGTGATACACAAATAAGATATATTTTTGTTAAAGAGGATCTTTACCTATATCTTTAAACTAACAACAAACACACCTTTTGAAATGTTTAGTAATGGCAATCTACAAACACATACTTCTAGATAATTGCCGGCTTTGTATTCTTTGCATACCTCATTTCTCTTTTCTTCCTCAGACTTCTGACAGTGGTCATGTTTACAAAGGGCAGATTACTAGCTCTCCTATTACAATCAATAGTATAAAGTGCAGGAATGGGGCTGAAAGGGTGAGAGTGTGGCACCACACCCCTGAGATTGTAATGACACAAAAGAACAATAAATGTGTAAATTGTTGAAGCATCCCTGTTCCAAACGTACCATTCAGACCCTTATCACCAGCTGAGATAATTTATAAAAGTGGTGAAAGGAAAAATAAATCACAATTTAAAACAAGACTATTTCATCACTTTTGGTTTTCATTCATTTTTCTACCAGGAGGGGAATTTTACAAATATGAAAGAAGCAGACATTACTTTTTTAAATGGTGATTTTTGCTTCCGCTCTATATTTTTTTACTTAACTTTACTGCATACCAAATGGTCTATTTAACAGGGAAAATTGTACTGCCGTGTGTGTTCATACAGGAAAAAAAGCAAGCTACTGCATAACCCCCAACACACCAAAACCCAGAGAGAGCTAAAGAAGAAAAGACACCAATCACAGACATGAAAAACAAATGCATGTAGTAAAGCAAGAGATTAGTCTGAGCAGACAGAACACTTTGATCTCAGACACGAAGCGGCAGCCACAAAACAGAGGATATTTGTAAACCTAAATAATGCTGTATATGACAGCACAGATACAAGAAGAAAAAAATTTGATTTCATCCTGTCTGATGTTTTTATGATGTGCAAAATACAACATCCAGATCATTTGCATCATTATCTGCAATGCTTCTCATTGGAAACATATTTTAATTCCCTACTGAGATCCATCAACGAGCTGCAAGGAGGAAACACAACATGAAAGCATCTGATACCTGGCAAACACAGTATGTGCTAGAGCAGCAAAACACAATTTACACACCTCATATACTGTATGTCATCAGACATTTATTATTATTATTATTATTATAATAATAATATATAGCAGCAACAGTTTGCACAACGCTTTACAACATATAGTAAAGGGGTTTCTAAACGTCTTGCTGCACACTTATAAATAATGTACTTGATCAGTTTTAATTGTTGCAACACTCTATTAACAGCGGACAGCCAATCATGTTGTTTTCTGCCAGCCAAACATATTTCTCTTTTCAGCCATTCCAATCAGATGCGCTTGTCAGTTATTCAGGCAGATCTGATCGGAAACGCAATGTTAGTTAGGCGTCTATTTACATCTGCTTACCTCCGAGTATAAATAACAGAAAAGAGTTACATTTTTTTGAACCTAAAAGTGATGGATTGGGCACATGTCATTTTACATCTGGCTGTCCATCGACCTACCATGGGTCCGTTCAGTTCATCTTGTGATGGAGGAAAAAACTGAATGAACATGGATGTCACAAAAGTTAAATCTGTTCCATACTGCTCTAAACAGCAGGAGATATGTGCACAGATCCCCTGCTATTGGGTGTGGACGGGCACCCTTGTGAAAGGGCCTATTAGGATAATGTGAGTACTCTTACAGAAAATCTGTAGAAGTCAGAGCCCAATGCCCACAGTATTTACTATAGCTGTTATGTCAGGTTTTGCCTTATTCTGTTAGTTTGTCAAAGGCAAATGATCTTCTAACCCTGGACCAGCATAGCTTTTGGTTCTAGAGTCAGTATGGAAGAGAAAGGTGAGGAGGCTCCCAGGAGCAGATGCTAAGTTACAGTAGTGAGATGAAGTAATCCTGCTAACACTGGGACTCATTAGTATACTGCAGTAAAAGCAAGCCAGGATATTTCCAGCTCTTTTAGCATGCTAGTTGTCACATCTTATCTAGAAAGATCAATCATGCATAAGGTACTGTAAGCCAAGGAGCTTGACAGAGCATGCTGGGACTTATAGTTTCAACTTTTACAGTAGTTGGAGATCTTGAAGTTTCCTATCCCTGGTTTATAACATCTTTAAAATGTAGAGCTTCTGATAATAACCATCAGTTAAACATTGTTTTCCAATACAGTATAAACTCCAGGATTTTAACCACACTGACTCTCTGTTTGCCTGAGGAAGGGGCCGCATGGTCCCAAAACGTTGCTAGAGGTGTTTTCACTTGGGTCAATAAACTTATTGACTTGAATACTTGGAGTGCTGGTGACTTTATTATTTGTACGTTTTTGATGGAGGCATCCGTTGTTGCTGCTGCACCCGCCCTGCTGCATGGGCATTTTCCGGTCAGGAGTGCGATGGGATACTTGGACTTTTGATCACACTGCAAATGTAAACTGCTCGTTTTGGCCTACGGAACAGAAAAAAGAAGAAACACTCACCTTATCCTCGATCCTATGACTGCTCACCTCTCTCATGGTGTGTCTCCGCATCCTCAAGTCTAATGCAAGTGAATGGACTTTGCATAGACGTGATAACATCAGCGGGACTTAGACCCCCGGAGTCCATGGGAGAAGAGACTGCAGGGTCCGGTCTGGCAGCCAGATAGGATCAAAGATCGGATGAATATGTTATATATACTGTATATATATATATATAAAAATATGAAAAATAGATAATCCGCGCTTCTGGAAAAGAGACTAAAGTGGAAATATGTATTGTAAATTAAGACCTAAAGCAGCTCTAAAAGAGAATGGAAGAATCCTTTCAACGAAAAATATATATCAAAGCGCTAAAGGTATAAATAATATGAAACTTAGTGCAACCAAGTGATATAGTGAAATTAGGGTTTAGGCGGTCTAGCCCTAAACCAAGTGATATATCTTACATAGGATCATGAAAGAAAAAATTAAATTCATAATTCAATTGTGCTGTGGAAAAACAGATAGTGATTGGGACAATAAAAAAATTTCAACCACTGTGTAAAGACATCAAATATATAACAATATATGAACGATCCACACAAAAAAAAATATATAAAAAAAACATTAAAATAAAGTGTTCAGGGAAAAATAAACGTAAAAACTTAAAAAACGTGTGCAAAAGAAATTGTTAATGATATATATTGTTGATGATATATCTT